TAGGGTCTCTCCTCAGCTTTTTCGAACTTTTCCCTAATTCAACCACAGGGGTCAACCAGCATCTGTTCATTGATTTGGTGTAAGTATCTGCATCTGACTCATGCAGATGATTGTTGGACCTCTCTGAAGGCAGCCATGCTAGGCTCCTGTTTGTAAGCACACCATAGCATCAGTAATAGTGTCAGGCCTTGGAGTCTCCCCTTGAGCTGGATCCCAATTTGGGCCTGTCACTGGACCTCCTTTCCCTCAGAATCTTCTCCAGTTTTGTTCCTGCAGTTATTTTAGACAGGACCAATTCTGGGTCAGAGTTTCTGACTGTGGGATGGCAAGCCCATCCCTCCACTTGTGGTCCACTATGTTCATAGTATCCTTATTTGTCATAGCCAGAAGCTGGAAACAACCCAGATAGCCCTCAACAGAGGAATGGATATAGAAAATATGGTACGTTTAAATACAGGGATACTATTCAGTTATTAAGAATGAGAACATCATGAGTTTTGCAGGCAAATGGATGGAACTAGACAATATCATCCTGAGTGGCATAACTCAGACACAAAAGGACATGCATGGTATGTACTCACTAATAAGTGGATATTAGCTAAAAATGTACAGAAAACCCAGGACACAATCCATAGAACTTTAGAATGTTAACAAGCAGAAGGGCCCAAGTGAGGATTCCTGAATCCCACTTGGGAGGGAGAGGATAGTAATCAGTGGGGGCAGAAAGGAAGGACCTGGTTGGGAGAGGGAACAGGGAGGGGAAAAGGGGGAAACATGATCAGGTATTGGGAGAACAGGCCTGAAGCCCTGAGAGCCAGCAGAATGAATGAAAATATGCAATCTCAGGAGGTAGGAGGTGGGGGGGACCCTCTAGAATATACCAGAGATCTGGGAGGTAAAAGACTCTCAGTATTCAAAGGGAGGGACCTTAGATTAAATGCCCTAGAGTGGAGAGGGAACGTGTAGCGTCCACCTCCAATAGAAAGACAGGACATCAAATTTAATTCTCTTAAGATAAGAATATTATTTTTTGAGGATTATAAAAACTTGTTTTTAAGGTTTTTTTTCAAATTTATCTTTGTTGTCTCAGAAAGTTATTAATAATACCCAGTATATTATAGTTGATGATATTAGACCCCAGGTAGTACATACATTATTGGTCTCCTGTCTATGTCTTCCTAACTATGGTATTTTAAAAAGATGGATAATTTATCTATTGACACTGAGCTCCCCACATCCATTGATCTTTGCAATGTGTCCAGCTGTGGTTCTCTCTAATAGTATCTTTTTGAAAACTGGTTACCCAATACCATGTGCTCAGCCCTGAAACTATATGTATACAAACAACAATAACAACAAAATAAACCTTGAAAAACAACTTTGTCCAGAGTCAGGAACCCCCTCAAGCAACTTACAGATTGGACACCAGGAGGCTCCAAGGAGTTGAATCACTGACCTGAGAAAGCACAGCTGGTCTTAAAACAGCATGTACACACCCATCCCTCAGGGTAGTTCTCCATTCCCAGCCTCAGTTCCAGACCCAGGCCTACACACAGGGCATGCGGAGAAGCTGAAGATAGTGCCGGTAGCACCAGAGAACCATGGCATCTTTTTCTCTGGGGACTCCTACTTTGTGCTTCACAATGGCCCAGAAGAGCCCTCCCATCTGCACCTGCGGATAGGCCATCAGTCATCCAGAGATGAGCAGGGGGGCCTGTGCTGTGCTGATTGTGCACCTTAACATCCTGCTGAGGGAGCGGCCTGTGCAGTGCCATGAGGTTCAAGGGAACTTCCCGCAAGACCTCAAGTACTAGGAAGGTGGTGTGAACTCGGCCTTTTACCAGACAACCTCGGGCACCACCCCAGCAGCCATCAGGAAGCTTTACCAGGTTAAGGGGAAGAAGAACATCCGTGTGACCAAGAGGCCTCTGAGCTGGGACAGTTTCAACACTGGGGACTGCTTCATCCTAGACCTGGGTCAGAACATCTTTGTCTGTTGTGGTAGAAAGTCCAACATCCTGGAGCGCAACAAGGCGAGGGACCTGGCCCTGGCCATCAGGGACAGCAAGCGGCAGGTGGGAATCATCACTGATGGAGAGGAGCCCAGCTGAGATGATTCAGGTTCTGGGCCCCAAGCCTGCTCTGAAGCAGGGCAACCCTGAGGAAGACGTTACAACTGACCAGACCAACGCTCAGACCACAGTCCTGTATAAGGTCTCTGATGCCGCTGGACAGATGAATCTGACCAAGGTGGCTGATTCTAGCCCTTTTGCCTCACAACTGCTAATTCCAGATGACTGCTTTGTTCTGGACAATGGGTTGTTTGGCAAAATCTCTATCTGGAAGGGGAGAAAGGCTAATGAGAAGGAGCAGCAGGTGGCCCTCCAAGTGGGTGATGGCTTCATCTCTCGAATGACACTCAAGTGGAGATTCTGCCCCAAGGCCGAGAGAGTCCCATCTTTAAGTAATTCTTCAAAAACTAGAACTGAGGGTGGTGGCTGTCCCATTCCCTGCTCTCTTGCCTCCCACCACCTGCCTGCTTGTTTCCCCTCTGGCTGCTGAGCCAGCACTGAAGTGCCCTCTGGATGCCCAATAAAGGATACATTCTGTCCCCCCCCCCAAAAAAAACCCCTCAGTAGGTTGTATTATGTATTTAAACAAACAAATACAGATATCTTACATAAGGTAGCAGGCACATTCCTAAAATTCATATTTAATTGTTTTTTTAAATTTATTTCAACAAACTGAATTATAAAGTCTTTACTGTTGTGGTTTTAATGAAAAATGTCCCTAGACAATTTCTGGGTTTGACACTGAGATAATTGTTCTGTTGGTTGAGTACCTTTAGGAGGTTGGTTGGCTGTAGTACCTTTAGGAGGTGGAGCCTAGCTGAAGGAAGTAGGTTGTGGAAGTCAGGCCCTGAGGGCTATAACCCTCGCCAGACCTTTCTGGTTACTGGAAGGTATCATGTGAGCCAGCTGAGCAGCAAGCTCTCACGGACACAAACAACTCCGTTTTAGTCGAAACAACTTCCCCATCCTGATGGGCTACCTTCTCTGAATTGTGGGCCAAAGAAATACTTTCTCCACTAACTTGTTTGTTTTAGGTACTTGGCCATAGGGAGAAAAGGTTAACTTAATACCTCTAGTTACAAGGTACAGGGAGATTTTGGTAAATTTATTTTGTTTTACATACATATATTTGTTATTTGAACAATTCATGGATGGATACAATGTATTTTGATCATTGACCAGACCAATGCTCAGGCCACAGCCCTGTATAAGGTCTGTGATGCCACTGGACAGATGAATCTGACCAAGGTGGTTGATTCCAGCCCTTTTGCCTCAGAACTGCTTATGTCCCTGCACCTTTATGCTGCCTCCAACACCTGCTGGGTCCCCCCAATACCTTCTTCCTCCCAACTTTATGTATGTCCTCTTTATAAATGATCCACTGGGTCTAATTAGTACTGCCCATATGGCCATGGGTGTGGGGCCACCCACTGGAGCATGGACAGTATAATTTTGTTTATTCATTTAAGAAAATTCATTCCTCTAAGAAAACTTTGATTATGGTATGTGTTCCCTTTTTATTGAATATTTTATATATTTACATTGCAAATGTTATCCCCTTTCCCAGTTTCCTCTCTGGAAACCCTCTGTCCCATCCCCCCAACCCCTGCTTCTAGGAGGGTGCCTCCTGGCCCTGGCATTCCCCTACACTGGGACATCAAGCCTTCACAGGACCAAGGACATCTCCTCCCATTGATGCCCGACAAGGCCATCCTCTGCTACATATGCAGCTGGAGCCATGGGGCACTATCCTATATCATACATACCAATGGAGAAAACTTTAAAGTCACACTACAAAATTTTAGATAAAATTTTTGCGCTATATAGTACCAAATTACTTATTTTGCTCTATCAGTACATTACCAAAGCTTTGTGCTGCTGGTAACTTAAAGATGTCTCTCCTATTACTAAGGAAATGTTAAGTGGTCGTCATGAATAATTGTTTTCTATAGCGACCCCTATAGAGTACCTTTTTATACTATGGCTATTTCTCCACATCTTTAGATAAGACCACTTTACTATAGACTTGTATCACATTTTTACCTTCACCTCCAATGATAACCTTGTCTGTGAATCAGCTAGCACTCCTTTTATCTCTTTTCCATTTTGAGACTTAGAAAAAATTATATGAAACAAAATTTCTATGGTGTAGAGAATATGAGATTCATAAAGGAAATAAGACCTATGGAAGAAAGTTTACTTGAGTGTAATCGTATGAACGAACGATTCTACTGTTGCATTCCCTGTTCTTGTTATGGAAATGTGTTACATACTTAAGGTGAAGCTGGCTACTTTGCATAGAGGACAGGGTTTCACATGAAAAGAAAACTTACGTAGAGATACTCTGACCATTGACAACAGAAGACATTTAAGACAACAAATTCACGTGGGATGCTTCACATGTGGGATGTTTTCTGTCCTCGTATAATAATGATGTCCATTTAACTCTTTATCCTTCTGCCTCTACCTCCAACTCTTACATCTTAGAAAAGCATTGTGCTTTTGTAATGTGCTTTGGTATGTTCATTACAAGTGAATCACATGGACTGATCATCATCAATTAAAAGAAAACTACTACATGTCAAAAGACACCACTGATCATACAGTAACACAAAAAATAGTGAGTGTTCACTCCAGATTTGTAACTGATACCATTAGAAACAATATGAATACTCATGAAAAATAAAATGTGCTTTGACTGAATGGAATATCCTTAAGTTACAAAAATGAATGGATTAATGAATGTGCCTAAACCAATATGCTGCATATTTTAAAATGATTAAAATATTAAATTTTATGCTTTACAACTGTATCTTAATGAAAAAAAAATCTTCAAATGTTTTCCTGAACACCAATTTGGGAGAAAAATCAAGTCTATTAAAGTTCCATTAAACAATAGTTTTTGAAGTATCACAAACCATAATCATCTTTGTGTGGAACTCTTTTTATTATGATAAATCCAGCAAAACTTTGTGCATACACATATAATCAAAACTGCCCTCCTGAAATAGACATTCAAATTTCTTCAAAAATGAAATTAAAATTTTATATTCTTTCCAAGCTACTAATACAGTTGTATTTGGTAATGACAATTCTAACTCTTAGCATTACCTGAAAATAGTTGACCTTCTTTATAAAAGCAACCGAGAGAACTACAGCAAAGTTGTGCCAAACTCTTTCTTTTGGAATTCTCCTACTCTGCAAAATTACCACGTATAAGAATAAAATTGAAACTCAAAGATTTAATACATAACTTACACACAATGAAATTCACAAAGTTGCAAGTATACATTTTATATTTTGCACTACTATAATCACAAAATGTATAAATGTGTCATGTTAGGCATTTTTGCAACTAATAACCTGGATGATGATGATGATGATGATGATGATGATCCAAGATTGAATGATGCTAAAGAAAAGCACTGTTTATAAAATATCTGATAAAAATATTTATCTCTATTAACATTACAACAGGAAGGTACGTGTTACCAAATTATGATCTCACAGAGGGCAGTTTTAGACAATACTCAGAGGCTCCTCTTTCTCCCCATCTTGTTTGAAGTCTTTGTTTTCAGCTTCGTCTTCTGCTTCCACCTTGTTTTCATTATTCCCTTCACCTGAAGCAACCTCTTGCTCTTCTTCCTCCTTTCTATCCTCTTTTCCATCATCCTTCTCCTTTCCCTCTTCTTCATACAGATCTTCCTTTCCATCTTCCTCATGCAGATCTTCCTTTCCATCTTCCTCATGCAGATCTTCCTTTCCATCTTCCTCATGCTGACCTTCCTTTCCATCTTCCTCATGCAGATCTTCCTTTCCATCTTCCTCATGCTGATCTTCCTTTCCATCTTCCTCATGCAGATCTTCCTTTCCATCTTCCTCATGCTGACCTTCCTTTCCATCTTCCTCATGCAGATCTTCCTTTCCATCTTCCTTGGTTTCCTCCTCTTTGCATTTCCCATCTTCCTCCTCTGTTTCCTCTTTCTGTTCTTTTACTTCTTCCTCTGTTTCAGCTTCACACTCTTTGTCATCTTTCTCTTCTTCCTTCTTCCCATCGTCTTCTTCTTTGATATTTTCTCCTTCTTTTTCATTGTCTCCTTTCTCTTCATCATCTTTGGCCTCCTTTGCATCTTCACTTTCAGCTGCACCTGGTTTCTCTTTTAGGCCTTCTTCTTCCCTCTTTCTGTCTTCCACTGCCTCACCTGTATCTTCCTGTTGTTTTCCATCTTCATCTTTCTCCACATCTTGAATGTTTGCTTCTAGCTCATCATCTTTGCCTTCTGCTGCCACTGCTTCTTTCTTTTCTCCTCCATCTTCTTCAATGTCTTCATTTATCTGTGCTTTTACTTCCTCAACTTCCATTTTAGGAATAGATGACTAGATATAATGAGAGGAAAAAGATTGTAAATTTAGAGCTGTTTTATCTCTTGAATATTAAGATTAGATTGTTTAATACTTGTTTCATGAAAAGCCTACTTATATTTCATTTGCCAGAAAGTAGTTTTCCTATATAATAAGAAAAATATTCCAAACAATACACAAGTATAGTATCTTGATACAAAGCACCACAAATAGATGTCTGCAACCATAACTTTAGTAAAGCTTGTCTATATAAATACCCTTCATTAAAAATATGATGAAACAAAGTAAATAATCAGAAATTGTTTATTTATTCTATGTCTTAAATTCTCAGTAAGTAAAACATGTGGCGATAAAGTCTTTGGGAAATAATGCTGGTTTTTTTTCTGTTCTTTTGAGACAAGATGTTGGCCTTGAACTCACAGTGATTCTCTGGCTTCCACCTACCAAATATTGTCTGTGTTGGTTTGAATTTGAATGGCCATGGTAGGTTCATATATTTAAATGTTAAACATCACAGATTGGCACTACTCGAGAAGGATTAGGTGTGGCCTTGTTGAAGTAGGTGTGGCCTTGTGGTGGCCACTAGGGGTGTGCTTTGAGGTTTAAAAAGCCCGAGATGGGCCCAATGTCAGTCTCACTTTCTGCTGCCTGCAAATCCAGATGTAGAACCATATCTGCCTGCATGCATGCCTGCCTTGCTCCTGCCATGAAGATAATGGACTAAACCTCTGAAATTGTAAGCTGGCCCCAATTAAATGCTTTCCTTTATGTGAGTTGCTATTGTTGTGGTGTCTCTTCACAGCAATAAAACCCTGGAGTAGCAGGCATGTACCACTATGCACAATTTAGGTTTGTGTGGTTTTTGGTGTTTCTTCCAGACAGGGTTTCATTATGTAGCTCTGGCTGTCCTGGAACTCACTATGTTGACCAGGCCTCAACCTCACAGAGATCTACCTACCTCTGCCTTCCAACACATTTTGTGCTTTTTAAAAAACAAAAATTAGCTGGGCGGTGGTGGCACACGTCTTTAATCCCAGCACTTGGGAGGCAAAGGCAGGTGGATTTCAAAGTTTGAGGTCAGCCTGGTCCACAGAGTGTGTTCCAGGACAGCCAGGGCTCCACAGAGAAACTCTGTCTCGAAAAAACAACAACAACAATAAACCAAAAACCAAAAACATGATACATGGCTGGCCATGTCACTCAGTTGATAGAGTGCTTGAATATAGGAAACTCTGGTTTGTATCACCAGCCTCGCATAAAATAGGTATGTGTGGTGGTGCAGGTCTGTAATCATAGCACTTAGTAGGTGGAGGTAAGGAGGACGAGAAGAGGAGGTTGAGACAAAAGAGGACCAGAAGTTCCAGGTCATTCTTGACTATATAATGAGTTTGAGGCCATCCTTGGCTACAGGAAACCTTGTCTGGAAGAAAAAGTTCTATGACAGTTTATCATCAATAGAAAAAAATAAAATGTCATTTTCTGAGAAAAGAAGTTCCAAATAGTTTATGTGTTGACAAAAGGAATTAAAGTTTGGCTTATATTTAATAAGAGAATTATATTTGTTGTAAGTCATTCTTACTGGCATTATTAAATCAATATTAATGCTAACCAACTGCTTGTGCTATTGCTACCTGCAAAGCTTGTATTTTCCATTCATTTTCTATTTAGATACCATTTTACCACAGAACCACTATTCATTTACTATTTCTGTTTTTAAACTAAAAGGCAAATATGATTATTTTCAGTTGCATTGTTAAGTTTTCAAGAAGATATAACTCCAGGTACCTCAATAATTTTGGCTTCTCCATTTTCAGTGTTTTCCATGTTGCATTCTTCTTTAACATCTTCTGGCTTGGTTTCAAGAACTGTTGTGGTAACTGCATCTTTGTTTTCTTCCATGACATTTGTGGTCTTCGTTTTCTGCCCAGCAACATGAAAATAAAAATACAGAGTTTAGCTGCTATGTTGATTCACTAGCTGAAGATCCATTAGCAGCTGATAAAATAATTTAGCGAGAGCTTTAACATACTACACATAAATCTGATAGCAATAAAATTAACATATAACTCTTTTAGTGATACTTCTAAGGCAGCATTAAAAATGCATTCGTTTACCCTGATATAAATTAAAGAAATATGCTTTTATGATGAGTGTAATGAGAAGTAACAAGTCAGTCTTGACTAGTGCCCACCAAGGTCCAATTCCCAGCATCAGGTTAGACTTCATAAATTGAATGTCTCTTACCAAAAGTCAATTTATTACTGTCTAGTCTACTCATTAACAAGAAGGTTGTGTTAATTACAAAGTCTCCATTGGTAGTAATTAAGAGAATTGTCATGTTAGAACATCAATTTAGACACATCTAGAAGAGATCACCATCAGATGCAGCTGTTTCAATCTTTGTATCTGTCAGCTCCCCTCCCTCATTTTTGGTTTTCCTTTAAGAAAGTACGTTGCTTAAGTACATATACAGTAGGAAGATTCCGGATGCCAGAAAAAAAAGTTTAAACCCTAGATCTTTCACTTACATAAGAGTGAACTTGAGAAATGTTATAAATCTCTCAGATTGTGTTTTTATATGTAAAATGATAATATCACTCACCACAGAGGGACATTTTGGGAAACTGAGAAATCGTATATGGAATTATGTTAGGAATTATAGACTGCAATGTATGTAAAAGCTATTATTCTGTTAACAAATAAGAAACAGATCTGAGAAACATAAATACTTCTTACAGTGCATGATTATATAACAACCCTGATGGTTTACTCTTATACTTTCCCCACTCTCCCTCTCTCAGTGCAACTTGCAAAACAGTTCAATAGTTAGTGCTGCATCAGTTTATAAATTGACTGATTGAGATTAAACAAGGGCTTTAAAAATAAAAAGTATCAAAAGCATCTTATAAGAATGACCATAGTTTGCCATGTCTTCAGTCACAGATGATGTCAAAAATTATTACCCTCACAGGGGAAAGCACTAATTCAGTCCCCAACTACCACCAATTGTGCAGTTTCCTATAGCTGGGGAAGTCGCAGGGGTCAGCACATCTGGAGTGCAATGGATCATAAGCCTTTCCCTGGGAAAATCATCTTTGAGATCATGGTATCTCCCCTGCCAGGTAAGTATTCAAATATTCTTGTGGAGGGTTTTGTTTGTTTGTTTGTTTGTTTGTTTGTTTGTTTTTGAGAGGAGAAGGGGAAGTCAGGGCAGGAACCTGGAGGCAGGTGTGAAGTAGAAGCCATAGAAGCCATGGGGGAACACTGTTTACTTGTTTCCCCTCATCAAATATTTTTTATAATTTTAATCTTTTTTGATTTTTGTAATTGTTAGAAAAATGTTTATGAGGCAATTAACATTTAACTTAATATTGATTTTACTTCTCTTTCAGCCTGTCATTAGCTATAATATACAAGCACCAAAGTCTACTTAAAATCAGTTGACTCCATTTAAAGAAACAAACATGATAGCACTTCCTGAAGCGTTATCAAATATTAGTTACTGCTATTATTGTAATACGCTATTGAGTTACTGCAATTTATGGCCTTTGTTTTCCCATGAATATTGGTAAATACCAAAGGCATATACATTTAATGGGCCTACTCACCGACATTTTTATTTTACATTTACAATACTGTGTTGAAACTACCAAATAAAAATGCTAAGACACAGCTACCGATCACAAAACATGTACATATAGTCACCATCCAGTGTGATCTATATGTCCCGTATTATACATTAGATTTCTGTCTAAGAAAGCTATGAAGAAAACAAAAGGATTGGCTGTGTGCACTTTCACAATTGATTTCTAAAAAAAAAAATTATTTTCCTCAACCTTGTAATTTGAATATTTACCCTTGAAGTTGATGCTCTTTTAGGTTTCAACTCCGGTGTAAAGGGCACAGGCATCTGCATCAAAAAAATGTCATTATATAAGAAAAGAGGAAGAAATCATATTTGAAGAAAGACCACTGACAATGAAATCCATAAAAGTATGATTTAAACCAAGCACTAGGGAAAGAACTGTTTTCCTTAACGTGTAAAGTTTCTCCCATCAACCTTCCAAATAACCCTTGTGTTAAATATAATATTATGCAGGCTTTCCCAATTCTAAAAACTATATTCCATGATACATGGGCAGCATTTTATAAATATCACTTACAGCAGACAGTCGGGCTGATCTTCTCTTTGGCTGGAAGTGGAAAAAAGTCAAAAGAATTATGGTTATAGAAATCTAAAATTATTTTTACTGAGAAAATATTTGGTGTAGTACTGTGTAAATGTTGCTATTAAGGGAGTTATTACAAATGTTAAGAAATGTCATAGACACACACATCTGATCCAACCCCTGAAACCTTTCATATGCTAAAGGGAATAAAATCCCATGACAACCTTCTTTCACTGAGATAAATCAGCAAAATGACTATTTCTGAGGAGCACATTTTAAAATGAAAATATAGCTTTCTGCTCACCAACTGTCTGACAAAACAGAACTTGAGCCTAAGAAGCTGCTCTCTGGATCTTATAACAAGCACCGTAGGGTCCGAAATGCCAAAATGTCTGTCATTTTTTTTTAATTAGTGTACTTTGAGACAGCACTGGCATACACAACATTAGTGCTCATGTGGTCCAAATATAACTATCAGCATTTTTACCTAGTTATGTGTCTTTAGTTTCTAAAATGAGTGCGTGTCTCCCCTCCCCCCCCCCAAAGTCACACGCTAAAGACACTCACCTCCTGGCTCGCATCACCTGCAGCCTATGTAGAGGGAGAAAATACAAAAAAGAAATAGGATCATCAATATAAACATGCAGACCGGAAAATGTCACCAATGGACTATAATTATAGCTTTAGACACTTGTGACTTTTTCCCTGGGTTCCTGTCCAGCAGCCACGTGTTGCTGCTTACTAGCAGCTATTCTACACCTACTGTTTTAGTAACATGAAACGTGGACCAAGATGCAAGTTCGTGCTTAAGACCCGTTTACAAAGGGTCAATGTTATTTTTTGAACAAATAACGTCTCTTAAGAACAAAACATTTTCATTTTGAAATCCACCTGCTCGAATGTTAAAGCCAAAACAAGGGTTGGGCGGGATGAACGAAGGCGGAGTTTCTTGCAGTTTCCCTTTCTTGCCTTATGTTTGCTCTGCAATTGTATCTATCTGACCAGCTCTACTGATTATGGACTATTTTCCTTCTCAAGTTCTTTATACTAAACAAGAACCCCACCATACTTTCAAGGAAGGACGTCTTTGTTCTAACGTCGACGTTTTGTTCAGAGAAGCAGGCGGCGGAATTTAAAACTTCCCGCCACTACCTGCTACAAGGTTGCTGTCAGCTCGGTAAAATAGCAAGATCCATTGCACAAGACGAAAAGAGCCCGGCGGCGGGAGCCTTGGGAAGGGGGGTGGTGATTAGAAACAATCGCTTTCGGTATCAGAGTAGCCCTTTACCCTGGGAATTACCAGGCTATTATTTCAATGATAGAGCCCCAGAGCACTAAGGAATTTCAGCCTCATTTCTATGTCCTAGGAATACGGAAGGCGGACGGATTCACAAGAATATAAAAACAATCATAAGGCTTTTACATTAACACAATATTTTATTTTATGATTTCACCAAGTAATGAAACAGCATTCCAATTTAGTTGAAGGTATTCGGGGCAGGGGTGGGTGGGTGGAGGGAAACACAAACACTGAGCTTCAACTTATTTCCTATCTTCGCGGAGACAGGAATTTTGAAGTGAAGGGTTACAGAAGACCTGTAGCCCTTGGTAGCTTGGATCAACTCCCCATGTCTAAAGTGAACTAATCCCACGCCACCCCACCATCCAACGCTGACAGTAGTTTCTCGGACGCGGCTCTCTGATCACCTTTCCACCTTTAACTAGAGAGTTCCGAGAGTGCCAAATCTCTCAAATCTAAAGTTTCTAATTACAGCGGTGAATCTCTCCCTTCTCTAGGACAGTTTGAAGTCTGCGCCGCCTAATGGCACAGGATTACCATTGCATAGCCATCTGGCATGACAAGAAGTGGAGGAGGGAAGAGGGGGGAAAAAGGAAAAAAGAAAACGGAAAGAACAAAGGCAAAAACAAGAGAAAGCCAGGGCTTTCGTTCCCCTAAACGGGACGGTTCCCCGAGAAAAGCGGGTGGTAGAGGAGGAAGCTGGCGCTGGAAGTGTGGTTGGGAGAAGAGTTCTCCAATAGGGTAAGCGGAGGAAGGGGGGTGGGGTAGGAAGCGACAGCACAGCGCTATGGCTGTTTGTAATTCAGCATGGAGACACCTCTCAAACGATTCTCTCCCTTAAACAAAACAAGCCAAAAGTGAACTACCAGTTGCATACAAGACCTTCCGAAACCAAAGACAAACGGATCGCTACCTTTCCCTCGCCTTCCATTCAAAACATCACAAAATCAAACTAGAAGCCAAAATGCTCTTTCAAAAAGATAGAAATCTCTGTCGTATGAAATATGTATTTCGGCAGCTAATATCCCGTCTATCTTCCCATTTCACTTACCTTTCTTTTGGGCATTGTTGCAGCTCTCCGTAGGAGATCCTTAGGCAGGAGGGAAAAAAGCCGAGAGGAGTCTCTGCCTGACCGCTCCGCGAGCGACTGAGTTTTCAATGAACTAATTGCAGCACGATATGTACTCGCGTCCCCCCTCCCCCTAAAAAAAATCTCTCGTTATTGGCAACATTAAACACGCCAAGACGCAACCAAACTACGTGAATGGTTACCCGAAGTGGGAGCCAGGTTGGAGTGACAGGCTGTCAGGCCAATGAGGGGAGGTGGCCGGTTCGGAAGGCGTGGCCCGCGAACTTGCCCGAAGCCCTCGTATGCTGCCGGCTTTGACTGCCTCTAGGGTGCCGGAGTCCACGCATTTAACAGACGCCTAGTGCTCCAACGTGACCAGCAGGAAATCCAGTTTTCTTGCCTTTTCACCCGTTTTTAAGTTAAAACGGCAAGCAAAAGCTCAAACAGTTGGTTTTTTCCCCCCACGATCTCCACCCCACTTCCTTCTTCGCGCCGGGTGGCGGGCCCTTTTGAGACTGGATTGAGCCAGAAGCTCCAGTATTTCCCTGTTAGCAAAAGGGCGAGGTTGGAGTGACAAGATCGCGGGTTTAGAGATCAGAAAAAGAGTGAGAACGTTTCTGGTCGTGAGAACTTCCCGCCAATGCTGAACTGTGGTCCTGGCTTTAGAAGGGTGCCAAAACTACGCGCCTCCCGCAGGTGGAGACGAGCAATAAATCTGGGACCTGGAAGAGCAGGACTCCCCTGCAGGCCGCCTACCTTCTAAAAGAGCTAGTACTCCGCCTGGAGGGAGTCAAGCAAGAATTAAATAGGGCCACACGGGAAGTCAGTAACAGCAGAGGTCTACCCAGAGGAAAAACATTGACTTTAATGGATTCATAATTCAAAGATGATATTTAAGACTACATAGAAAACAAAACCATTTATTATCTTCATTACTGAAACTTGAAGTGTCTCCTTAATTTTTTATTTTTATTTTTAATTTTTATTTTTGGCCCCCGGAAGTGCCCCGTGAACCTATTCTAGTCTCAGACAGTGTTTAAGTAGCAGCTTTCTGTTCTGAGAATCTTCCATTTGTCTTCTAGTGTCAGAGTCTGAGACCCTAAACGTTTGGTGAAAAGAATAAGATGCTTAGAAATAATTCCGGTTATGAGGGCTGCTAATTGTTACTGGAACTAAGCAAGCCGGGTCCCTGCAGCCTTTTTTGAGATGTGCTTTGCTTCAGTTGTTGAAAGAGCTAATTGTATTTAAAAGTGCTTCAACAACAGTCTGCATTCCCTAAGCTGAAAGTCTAATCAAAACGAAAAATTAACCTTTTAAATGGTTACTTAAAAATTTAGGGCCCGGCCTAGTGGTGTATGGCTTTAATCCGAACACTTCGGAGGCAGAAGCAGGGAGATCACAGTACGATCAAGACTAGCCTGGTCCACATGTATCAAGCAAGCCTGAGCTACCTAGTGAGACCCTGCTTCATTGCCTCCCCTCCCCCAACTCTTTTTCTGTTCCTGTAGCTTAAAGGAAAACCAGACCGTCCATTTCAAAGAGTACTAGCTACGTTTGGTGGTGGCGATGTAGCAGTGAGATGCTGAGATTCAAGTCATTCTAGGCTAAATAGACATCCAATCACAAACAAACAAACAAACAAACCAAGCATGACTGCCTATATGATTTACAGGTTATCAAACCATCTGTTCAATCTAAAACTCACCCTGACAGACCCTATAATTATGAGTTTTGTCCCATCTTCCCTAGCGTTAGCCTGGGGAGTTAAACAAACCACTTACCCTAAGACCTACTGAAACCTACTCCCATAACTTAGCGTTGCATTCTTATGCAAGTAGACCTCTGAAAGGCACATTTACATTTGCTTCCTTGGCCTGCAGTTATGTGTCATCTGACCAGGCTCCAGATGTGCCTTTTAGTTACCTTTAAGTGAAAGCCTTGTTGGAAGAATCTAGGTGTCTTTCAGTAATTTGATTTTCTGAGAGAAAATTGATTTCAATGTAAGAATTGTCTCATAAGGATAAGGGAAAAATGAAGACAATGAAAACGTGTTAGCGATAGAATGCATCCATTCAACATATTCTTACTTACCATTATTTTGCGGGTTAGATTTTTGTTTTTGTAGACTAGCTTATAAAAATGCAACCCCCTGTGACATGCAAAGTGGCAGTACACAGTTTCTGCCCTTAAGGATTTTTGTAGCTCTGTAGGATTGAGAAAACAGATGCATGTGTATTTACAAATCAAAGATGCATATATTATATGAATTGTGAAGTTTATATTTAATAGTACTGTGGGGGTGGGGTGGGAAGGCTCCTTTTCAAACTGAGGCCATTAAAGAAGGCTTTTGGTATCTGGGCCTGAACGCGTTTGGAGATTGTTACACTATAACACTGCAGAGGCAAAGTTTGGACTTGTTGAGAGAATAGACTGCCCAGTCCCAGTAAATTGAAACAAATGATGAAGATGAGCTCAGAGAGGTGAATCTCAAGTTGGAGGCAACATTAAATGTGCTGTCAGAGCGAGTGAGCTCTGGCACCTCTCAGGGTTGTCAGCTATTTTCTGCTTTGTTCTGTCTTTCCTCCTTGGAGCTCAATCTGTCCAAATTGTGATTTACGCTTTTCAGATTGCTTAAATGTGAAACGTTTATCTAGTTCTTCACCCCACCCCCATAATTCTTTCTAGTAGTAAACAGATGAGTGTCCTTTGTGCCAGTCAGCTTCCTTTAACTCTTGACCTTTGTGACATTTTTACCTGTGTCTGAAGCTTCATTACTTACAGTGTCACCTACAAAATATACCAAATGGTCCAGTCCTAGCCTAGTGTGACCTCTTTATCTAAGAGTGTGCTAATCATTTCAGCTCATCAAAGCCCATACCGCATAATTTAGATTAAACCATCAAGTTCACAAGCAAGGTCTCACTATGTACCCTGGCAGACCTGGAACTCTTCTTACATGAAGCTGGCTTGGGACTCACAGAGATCCAGCTGCCTCTGCCCCCAAGTGTTCCTATTAAAGGCATGCAACACCATACCTGGTCATGCACAACTTTGACTGGAAACTGACTCAAAGTTGTTTTGTTTTCCTGGATATTTTTCATCACATCAAATGCCAGGTTTCTTCTGCAAAGTTTACCATAGTTACAAATTATTTTTCCAAAATTGATAAATTATTACAGAGTCTGAATTTTATTTTATGCAATGGTCAATGTGAGATTTTTTTCATGGATTACTTATTTTTAAAATTATACTAACTTGTTTCTCTTTTTTTTTATTAAAAGCTATGAATACTGATTGCCTGGCAATTATCCATAGGATAATTTCCCTTGGCTATTAAGTATGACTACTGTGACTGTCACAATTCAGAGTAACTGTAGCATGTCCATTCAGTAACCAGTGGGAAATGGGATAGAAAGATATAAAATTTACAGATTAAACATATCAACATTAAAAATGTTTGCCACAGAGAATCTAAAATAAAATAATAAAATATTAACATTATGTGCTTATGAGAGATGGGATGGTAGGGTGTTAAGAGGAAAAACGATCTTCAGATGTTCTGCAGATTATATATATATATATGTGTGTGTGTGTGTGTGTATGTGTATATATATATGAATAATAAAAATATTCCCAATGCACTATTTTACATACAAGGGAATCACAAAGGTACTGAATGGTAGTAAATATTATCTTTTCCATGTTAAAGTACCTCTGTCTTTGGTTACACTTGGTTATCATTAGCATTCCTGCTATATGCTAAAAAGTAAAAAAAAAATCTGAAAAGTGCTTAATATTATTTGCACATAATAAAATAAATCTTACTATAATCAAAATAACGTTTTTAATATATTAGTTGGTGTTTTATGTTTTAATAAACATTAAGCTCCAAATGAATCTAATGCATCAGTCAGAGCATTCATTTTTGAAATGAGTTAGATGCTGGTAGTTCTTTCCAAAGACTGGATCTTGAAACATTGTAAAACTGAGAATCTAAGACTTTCTTTCTCCAGATTTAAAACTAATAAAACACTGAATTCTGAGCGGTCCCTGATAGGATGCCTTTTGAAGGTGTGCTTCTAGTGGTAGAAAAAATTGAAAAAATAAAACAGTAAATTTTGATTTTAATATTTAAATAAATGACAGTTTAAAGTTTCAGACATTAAAGCCTAGAAGAGACTAACTGGAGATTTTCTAATTCAATACCCTTGTAATACAGATCAGCAAACTCAAGCACAGACAGCTTAAATTTCATTGCCTGTGACCATCATTCAGAGGTGGAGCAGCGTTTTGTTTGTTTTTCATTTTTTTCTGATTATTTTATTTGTAGCTTGGATAGCAGCAATTATAAAACCTCAACAGAAACGTTAATGAATTACAAGTCATGTTAGATAAAGACAAATTTTCCTCTATTTCAGTTCAAAACTCAAGAAGCACTTCTGTCCACCAGCCTCTTCAGATATTTATTTCTGTTTGTTTATCTAAGAATCTGAATTTAATCCTCTTATAAGTTTTTAACTGTATCAAAAGTAGAAAAATTGGTGATTTTATGTTCTCTCTCTGCCTCTCTCTCTGATAATTTCAGTGAACAAAGTTTTAACCACTAAAATCTTCAAACACATTCTCATGTTTCCCTCTGTTATGTACTAACAGAACGCTTTTCAAATAAAATTACAAATGGCCAGAAGTCATCTGAAGATTTCCAACTTATAGTAGGTGCCCTCCTTTATTTGAGGATTTTTTTTTTTGTTTGTTTTTTCGAGACAGGGTTTCTCTGTGTAATCCTTGCTGTCCTGGAACTCACTCTGTAGACCAGGCTGACCTCAAACTCAGAAATCTGCCTGCCTCTGCCTCCCAAGTGCTGGGATTAAAGGCGTGCGCCACCAA